TACTGCCTGTTGTTGTTATGTGCCGTAGAGTCAGTTCCGACCCATAGCGACCCTGTACAGGGTTTCTGAGGCTGTAAATCTTTACAGAGGCAGAAAGCCTCATCTTCCTCCCGCGGAATAGCTTATAGTTTCAAACTGCTGACTTTAAGGTTTGCAGCCCAATTCATAACCACTGCATTACCAAAGCTTCTTTACCACAGTAGTCTTTAAATTATCTTCAGCAATGTTGTACTTGCATGTGATATTAATGATAGTGTCTGGTGATTTTCACATTCCACTGGGTTACCTTTCTTTGGAATGGGTACAAATATGGATCTTTTCCAATATGTTGACCAATTATCAGTCTTACAAATTTTTTTACATAGATGACTAAGTGCCTCCAGTGCTGCATTGGTTTGTTGAAAGATTTTAATTTGTATTCCATCACTTCTTAGAGCCTTGTTTATTGCCAATGCCTTCAGTGCTGCTTGATTTCTCTCTTCAATACCATCAATTCTTGAGCATATGCTACCTCTTGTAATGACTGTACAGCAATCAGTTCATTTTGGTATAGTGACTATGTATTCCTTCCATCTCTTGATGTTTCCAGTCGTTTAATATTTTGCCCATAGAGTTCGCCAGTATTATAGCCTGAGGCTTGAATTCTTTTTCCTGGTCTTTGATCATTAGTTTTTAATACATGAAATCTCTTTTTAAGATAGTCTCTTAATTCAAGTTTATATTTTGGCTCATGTTGAGTTGTTTTACTTTCTTCAGCTTCAGCCTGAGCATATGAGCAACTGATGGTCTCTTTCACAGTTGGCTCCTGGTCTTGCTTTGGCTGATGATATTGAGTTTCTCCAATTGTCTCTTCCCACAGATATAGTCCATTTTACTACTGTATATTTCATCTGGTAAGGTCCACATGCATGGTCACCATTTATGTTGTTGAAAAAGGTATTTGCAATGAATAAGTCATTGGTCTTGCAAAAGTCTATCTATTGCTAGTTATCACAAGGTCATATTTTCCAACCACACATACTTCCTCCTTTCTTTTTTTCCAACTTTCACATTCCAATCACAAGTAATTGCTAATGCATCTTGATTGCATTTTTTTATCAATTTCAGACTAAGGAAGAATCAGTAGTTGGAAAATCTGGTGTTGGTCACAGAAACTATTCTGGAAACTGCATGACAAAATTTTGCAAGACTAGTGAGTTATTCATTGCATATATCTTTTCCAGCAACATGAATGGTGACTATATACTTGGACTTCACCTGATGGAATACACAGAAATCATATGACTACATATGTGGAAAAGATGATGGAGAAGTTCAATATCATCAACCAAAACAAGGCCAGGGGCCAACTATGGAACAGACAATCAATTATTCATATGCTCAGATTGAAGCCTAACAAAATTGAAACAACTCCACATAAGCCAAAATATGAACTTGAGTATAACCCACCTGAATTTATAGACCATCTCAAAACAGATTTGATGTATCAGATACTAATGACCAAAGACCAGAAGAGTTCTGGTATGATATCAAGAACATCATACATGAAGAAAACAAAGGTCATTTTAAAAATAGGAAAAAAGAAAAGACCACAGTAGATGTGAGAAGAGACTCTGAAATTTGCTGTTGAGCATAGAGGAGCTAAAACGGCTGGACAAAATGAGAAAGTTAAAGAGCTGAACAGAAACTTTCAAAGGGCAGCTCAAGAAGAAAAAGTCAAGTATTATAATGAAGTGTTCAAAGACCTGGAGTTAGAAAATCAAAAGGGAAGAACGTGCTCAGCATTTCTCAAACTGAAAAAAAGTGAACAATAACACAAAATGTTTACAATATTGGGGGATTCTGTGGTCAAAATATTGAGTAATGCAAGAAGCATCAAAAGAAGATGGAAGATAGTTAAAGAATCACTGTACCAAAAAGAACTGGACATGTAAAGTTACCCTAACTGACTCCATTTTTGAATCATGAGTAGCTCCTGCATGTTCAAATCCTGCCTGAGTGGAGAAGTTTTAAGTAGGAACTTTCTTAGCTGTACCTCCCCTTCCCATTCTAACCATAGCTTATTTTTTTTCCCTGTAAAACAGTTTACGCGTACATCCAATCCCTGGTCTCTCAAGATAACTGTCCCAGCTGATGAACCCTTAGCCCCACCTAATAGCTTATGCATATACCTTACCCCTGGTTGTGCAGGATAATGTCAGACTGCCTATGTATAAATACTCTTGAAAAATTGGGTCGGGGCTGCAGTCATTCCCACTTTTAGGGAGATCATAGTCACTGGCCAGCTAATGAAGTATTCCTTGCTGATCCTGAGAGTCCTGAGTGGTCATCTGGGTAAATTGAGAGACAATAGTCAATGCTCAACCATTTTAAGAGGTAGAATATGATCAAGAACTGAAAGTATTAAAGAAAGAAACCCAAGCTGCACTAAAGGCATTGGCAAAAAATATAGCTCCAGGTGTGGATCATAACAAACCATGGATAACCTTGTGAGGAATTGGTATACTAGAGCACTTCATTGTGCTCTTGAGGAACCTAACATAGACCAAGAGGCATTCATATGAACAAAATAAGAGGATACTGAATGAAATCAGGAAGATGTGTGCCAGGGTTGTGTCCTTTCATCATGCTTTTTCAATCTGTATACTGAGCAAATAATGAAAGAAGCTAAATTATATGAAGAATAATGTGGCATTAGGATTAGAGGAAGACTCCCACCTGTGGTATGTAGAAGAAACAGCCTTCCTTGCTTGAAGTGAAGAGGACTTGAAGTATTTACTGATGAAGATCAAAGATTATAGTCTTTAGTAAGGATTGTACCTCAATATAAAGAAAACAAAACCTTTAATAAGTGAACCAATAAATAACATCATGATAAAGGAACTCTGGTAGCGTAGTGATTACAAATTGGGCTGCGAACCTTAAGGTCAGTGGTTCGAAACTACCAGCCACTCCGCGGGAGAAAGATGAGCTTTCTACCCCCATAAAGATTTACACCCTCGGAAACCCTGTACAGGGTCGCTATGGGTCGGAACTGACTTGACGGCACTTAACAACAACAACAACAAATGGAGAAAAGATTGAAGTTGTTAAGGACTTCAATTTGCTTGGCTCCACAATCAATGTTAATGGAAACAGCAGTCAAGAAATAAAATTTGCCTTAGGCAAATCTGCTGCCAAAGACCTCTTTAAAGTTTTAAATGTCAAAGATGTCACTTTGAGGACTAAGTTGCTCCTTATGGTCTTGGCAAAGAATATTGAAAGTACCTTGAACAAACAAATCTATCTTGGAAATGCAAACAAATCTTGGAAGAACAAACAAATCTATCTTGGAAGTACAATCAGAATGCTGTTTAGAATTAAGAATGGTGAGACTTTGTCTTATGTTGTCAGGTAGGCTCATCGTGCTTGGTAAAATGGAGGGTCAGCAAAAAAAGACCATCAAGGAGACAAATGGACACAGTGGCAGGAACAATGGGCTCTAACATAACAACTGTGAGGATGACACAGGACTCGTAGGGTAACTAGAAGTTGGAATTGACTTGGTGGTCCCTAACAACAAAGAAAGAATGAACATGATTCTAGAATGTGTGTGGAGTCATCAAAGGAAATATTATAGAGAAGTAGAGTGAGTTGGCGGCTACTTAAGATGGCAAGGTTAGGGAGGACATCCTGAAAGAGGTGACAATTTACTGAGTCATGAGGACTGAGAAAGTATTAACTCTGGAAGAACTGGGCAAAGAGGTGCTGA